GATCAAAGATGAAACCATTTAAATCTTTATATTTACAGTAAATTAACTTTATAAGAGGCCGGCCAGTAAGTTTATTGAAGTTCTGACAAATGGCCATTTCATAAAATTACAATCGGGCACCCCTTCAGACATATCCATCCTTTCAAGAAAAAACGTGGATTAAGATGGGAAAACCATGTCTTCAGCCTACAAGTCAGTTTTCAGCGAGCGCAAAAGGTGATAAACTGAAGCTTGTTGGAGTTATATCATGCTTATTATAACGGAAAAAGAACGTTTAAAATCCCTCCGCAGCTTTTTTGTTGGACAGTACTGTCATCTATTTGTTTCTTCTCCATGTCGTATATTTTAACCTTTGTTCAGATCTCGTTTAACTACACCTTTTGTTCTTGAGTCTTTCTCGTCTGAACTTTTATTTCGTGATTTTGATTAAAAACTTATCTTTTTGTTAACTAATTTTCCATTGCATTTTTCCGGACTACTGACGGTAAGGTCGTGCTTGACTAAGCTCAAGGTCACGGCGTGATTTAATGTGTGACTGTTAACCTTTTGACTGTCTGCTTGGGAGGATTTCTGGAATCCCTGCAGATAGATATTTGATCCCGTTTGTTGGGAATATATTTGTTGATTCTCAGATATCAAATCCTTTGTTATTGACTGTTTCTTTTGTTGTTTAGCGCACTACTTTGCGTTAGAGAAACTTCTGACTGTATAGCACAGGCTGTACCGTTTGAGGTCTTTTGTACTTTTGATATAATTTGTTTTATTTCTTAAATTAGAACCGTATAAATTGAGCACAGTATTTGTGTTTTGATATAATTTAATACGAGTATCTCAAAAACGCTTAGTGGGCTATACTGAAGAGCGTAGTCAGGCCTATTCGAATACAATTTGGTTCGTCAGTCCTACGTTCAGCCCGAATACTGGTAGTTCGGTCGTTACACAGATATTTAAGGAGGCCGCCGTGTTTAAGTTCGTAAACATGGGTAGTTGTGTAAATACTGGTGGTGGTTTGACAGATGAAATTAATCTACGCATAGTGAAGAGTCAGACTGGTTTATACCAACCTGGGTCACCTTTGGTACTGCCATGATGTTAGTGTGACTATAAAACATTGAGTTTACGACACGTCTGTGAGAATAGTTCTACTCTATCATTGTGGAACGTGGAGTTATTACGACCCAGCTACTGATGTCGCTTAGTATTCTTCAGACACTACTTCACTCCACAAGTCCCTAAATCAGTACACGGTTGAACAGGAACGTAGTTATATTCCAAATTGACAAGAAGCAATGGGAGTAAGAATCATAATGGGAAGAACGTTAGTATGTTTATAATTTTACACGAGAAGATTCTAGAGTGTTGACTAAGAAATGGGCAATTAGCGTGCTCCAACACAATCTTGCACGGGACATAGTTTAACCCAACCTCTATCTCGCTAACACCTGGCCTTTGGATTTAAAAGTTCGGTGACTAAGTTCAATGATCGTTGTCTCCAAAGAATGACTGACATTCAGTGGCAACACCATGTTAGCAATGATAAGGTTCAGTAATATGACAACTCAGTTGGTGTCACCATCTTAAGACACCGGCTTTGGTGACCTGAACGTTTCACAAATGCCATCCTAGTGGCTTCTATATCATGGTTTGTTTGCCAACTCTCGGACTAGTTGAAAAAGTCGAAGTGGGTAGTTTATAACGCAGAGTCGCAGTATGAAAGGAGACTAGAATACTGGCATCTACCAGTCCATCACGACTCACTGATTGTGGTCCTAGAGATGTAGATGTTATCAGACATTGCTCATGATAGAATTCGATAATGATATTGCTGTAGGTTCCTTTTACATGCTTCATAAAGTCGATAGGAACTCCTCTAACTGCAAGAAGTCTCTCTCGGTTGTGTTTCTAACTGAACTGTATCTCGTGTAATATACTGTTCTTGTTCGTTTTTGATTGTACCACACCTTCATATTTTCACAATGTCATCCCTGAATTTTATGTAGCCGATAGACTTGTGGTTCTTAGTTGTATCAATATTTACGGTTTTTTTGAATATGTACATTTCTGATGACTAACACTCCCGTTTAACCTGGCGGTCAACGTAGTTGAATGAAACCTTAAGGTCAGGAAATAAGACTAAGGTTGTGATTTCTTAAGGATACCCATTTTCCAGAATCTGACGACAGGTGCATATATGATGGATATGTCTACGTTGAGGTTTGAAATTAATTTAGTTTTCCTTAGTTTGCTTTGCACAAGCTCTTGTTAATGGTTAGATGGTTGTTGAGGCTAATACTTAGCGCACTGTATTCGACTGATTCCCATGTGGTTTTCACGAGAGGATTATAGATTTTCCTTTTAAGCTGGGACAGTGAATGATTGAGATCAGTGAGGTGGGAGTACAAACAGAGTAATTCGCAATGGTAGTGGTATCATTTATTGGATGTGAAAAAGTGATTCCATGATTTGTCCATTATGTATTCTGATGGTCACAACAGTAACAGCACTCAAGTATGAAATAAAACCGATTACACGTGAATTCATTGTACTGAAGGTAGGATAACACATATCAATGTACAAAGCAGTTATCATCGTGTGCAGACATCACACGTTTTCCGTTATATTCTTCACAAAGTTGGGAGGATCCCTTGAGTATAAATAGTGTGTCCGAAAATATCTAGGGAGTCGGTGCCGATTTGACATTCCTGAATATTTACATTAATGCCGTGTTTTTGTAGTCGTTCATGAAACAGGTCTAGATTTTGGAGATGAGATTCTCTGTTCGTACATGTGATTAAACAGTAATCTACATACGCGTGTATGAAGTTGTTGCCTCAAAAGACATGGTCGATGAATCTGGAAATTTTGTACAGTTTCTGAAACCGAAAAGCATGTGCAAAAATTTGTAGACACCGAGGTGGGTGATGATGGCGGTTCTATGGATGTCGTCTGCAACTATGGGAGTTTAGTTATATGCTTTAACCAAATCGATTTTCTAAAAATGAGCTGTACCTTTCAAGGTAGGTGTCAAGTCGTGAATGTGAGACAACGTGTAACGATCAGGAATGCTTTTCGCCGATAGTCACCAGTTGGACGCCAATCACTGCTGTACTTTTTTGGAAACTATGTGTAAAAGAGATGTCCATGAGCTATTTGACGACCAAATTTTTCCTAAATCTACCACATGGTCGAATTCGTTCTTTATCAACCTCGGCTTTTCGGGAGCTAGTCGGGGAGCCTTCGAGAATGCAGGTGGTCCTGTAGTCGTAATATGATGTGTAACATTGTTGGTTAAGCACAGCAATTTTGGTCGTATTTGGTACAGTTCGGAGTAATTTTCGAGTATTTGTTGATAGAACAAATCGACCATGTCTTTAACAATGACTGGCGACAACCTACAGCCCGAAAAAGAGGTTACTTAAACTGAAAAATTAACATTTCCGTCTACTTTTGCGCGTGTCGATGAGTAGATTATGATGTAACAGGTCTATACCAATGATTGGCATAGAAACATCTGCCACAACAAAAATTCAGTGAATGATCTTGGGTAAACCTGCGTTAAAGTAAAAATATCTTTTACCATATGTGGCGATCTGTTTACCACTTGCTGCCTGTAAGATGAAAACTTCGATCAGTTGGTCGTTGAAATTTGCAGAAAGAACGCTAACTTTTGTGCCAGCGTCGACGAGGAAGCAAACTTTCATCATCACATCAGTGACGTACAACAGACAGCTACGGTTGCCGTTAACGCGTGCCGCCTGAGAGGTTTCCCGAAGTGTTTTTCGTGTCGGTCGGTTTAGAGCTCGGAGAATTGAAGGTTTTCCTGTAATTTCGAGGTTTTCCGTACTGATTATGGTAGCAACACCAATCTGGGTTATCTGTCTCTCGTGATCTAGAGACAGATCGTTTTCGTGAAGAACTTTAAGAAGTTTGGGGGCGTCTACTGTCATGTTAGAATACGACAGAAATCTGTGACGTCATTTCGTGTCGTTTGAGGCTTTTCTCCAATTGAATAGACATCGACGTTGGGAGTTTTGGTGATCTCCAGAACTCAATCGGCAGATGCAACCGGCTCGTCTACAGGGTTGTTTTAAAATGAAACAAGCACTGCCTGCACCTGTTGAGGAAGTCTTGACAAGAACAGCTGTCCAAACAGGCCCTCATCAGCGGTTTGTTGACCAATGACTTCTTGCATTCGTGGCAAAATTTATGTTGCTGAGCCACGTTGTAGTTCAATGTTGTTGAGGAGTTGGCATAACCGTTGTCGATCGGTTAGGCTCCCACACTTGGAAGTAGCCTGTTTTAGAGTTCTGTAAGGTTCTGAAACCTCACTAGTAAAGATACAAGGTGTGACGTACAGCGCAGTAGTGTTTTAAACACTGCGAGGAATTGTGTACGTGGGTCTGTCACACCATGCTCGTGCAGGTCAGCTTCTGAGTAGCACAACCAGACCTTGGTATTGTCGAACCGAAATGGCATTAGCAAACATGAAGGAGGCGATAGTCTCAATCTGTCCCGTCATGGTGAATGTAAAGTATACCAATAAACGAGAAAAGATATTAAAATATTTAAAAAATATGACGGTGTGTGAATATATAACTTTTTGTTCAACTTATTGGTTTTTTCTCCAAGTAAATTCGCTTGTTCTTTACAATTAATAACTATTCTGTGTCGCGCTCCAGTTTTAACCCACGTTTTTCCAGGTTTTATGTTCTTCGAATGAATATATAAATAAACTCTCAGCCTATAACAGCTTTATTTCTACGTGGATCGGCATGCCAACCATCCTATTGGAATCGGATTCATGTTGTCTTTGATCGTGGTTTCGATTTATGAGTAGGGAAGTTGTTTAAAATACTTTTTTTCGAGATGTCGGTGAATTGTTTTTCCAAGATATTTTTATGGTTATAATAAATCAAATCCTAAATGTTAGTGTTTTTAAAGGAAATATAACCAATTATATTCGCATCTATTTTTATTCTCTTGTTTTAGTATATAAAACAATGAATGAAAATCCTATTGTCATATGCACACCCACTTCGTGTGCGGCTGTTCCCAATCCTAGCTGCGGGTCTTCATTTGAAACACCCGTTTGTCATTCAGGTATCTCACCTGTCGCTGTTCCAATCGTGTCCGGTTTGTCTTCAAATGTTCTGTGTTCCTCTGCTTTATCTATTACATCATCAGTTTCACCTAACCCACCTTCCTCCTTGTCGCTGACGTCTTTGCAAAATCCTGTCAATAGCTTGAACTTAAACGTACCTTCGTCTAGTCACAACCCAATAATTCTACCATCATCTGCGTCATTGTTAATTCATTCAATCAATTCCTCAAACAATTCAACTTCTGGGGTTCGTTCGGTCCCTCCAATTACTAGTAGTTCCTTAGCTATAAATGGTTTGGGAAATCCAAACATAACCGTTCCTATGACATGTAAAAATGAGTTTTTGTGTTCTACCATAACTAATCCTAGTTTTTCGTATGATTCCGTGCTGCCAGTTGAATCATCTACAATTTGTCCAAATCCAAGTTTTTCGACGATCGCTAACCAAACAGTTGAAGTTATTGATCCAACACAAAATTTGTCGTCTTCCATATCTGGGTCCACACCAGTCACATTAGCTTTACAGTCTAATATATTAAATTCCAACCATATGCATTCAGAAAATGTTTCAAGTTTCAGTGGAGAATGTGGGATTCGTCCTATAAGCAACCCAACATTACCACCATGTTTTCCTTTGAATTTGATGCCAATTAGTCCGAATGGCGACTTTCCAGCTGCGCAAATTAATTTTCCAGGGTTACCACCGGTTCTTCTTCAAGTCTTACCATTACCAGGTGTTAAAATGGGAGAACATTACACAATCAACGTTCCGACGCAGTTAATTTGGGATGGTATATCCAGCGCGTTAGCCAGTGGAGGGACTGTCAATGGTGGTCCAATAATTTTATCGATCACACCTACACCTTTATCTTCACATTCAGTCTCTTCTATGTCTACAGTCCCCGCCTCCTCCTATACTATGACAAACCAAACATCCACACCTGTCTCTTTATGTGGGCCATCTAATGGATTTATCAATCCAACTCTTCCTCAGGTTGGAGTTCCCGTTTCAACAGTGATTCCTTATTCTGCACATTCTGTTGGTCCTTTAACTACAACAGTAACTACAACTAGTGTTATCACTACTAAACTTCCAGGAGTTAATATTAATCCCCTGCTTTCCAATCCTGTCAGTGCTGTTGGGGGAGCCAAACGTATGAGGGCTATCGCTCCCAAGCCATCAAACGTTAGTTCAGTTGCTACTTTGGGGGCAAAACCTACATCTGCCTCTACTACAATATCAAAAAGTGGGACGAAGCGTCATGGTCTAGTTACTGCTATTTCAAGTGTGAATGGAATTGTATCAAACAGCACTTCCTCGCAAAGTAATCATGTTAGCATTCCCAACATTGGAGCAATTACTGGAGTACCAACACCCCCGAAACTGTTGCACTCAGCTTCTAGAAAGGTATCACTACCCTTAGTTAACTTTAGTTCCTCTTTTGTACGATCGGGTCGAGGTAGACGTCGCTGTGCTGTTGGACAACAATCTGTTTCTACTACGTTTGTTACTAGTGCACATGCTTCGCCCATATGTATAACAAACTCTGTTAACTCAGGGATGGGAATCAGCACTGATACCAGTAATGTTTGTTCTTTGCAGACGCCAGTTTCCTTACCATTAAGTAGTCCATCTTCATTATCATCGTTCTACAGCACGCCACCCATTTTCGTACCACCGACTACGAATCCCGGACCAGTTTTACCACCTGGACCTATTCCACCAACATTTCTTTTTGGTAATCCATTGCATAACGCACCACCTATTACAGTACCAAACGGCGTGGCTCCCTTTCTTTTTCAACCACCTCTCCCTATATCTAACAGTTGCTCACAATTTCCGAATTCTGTCTTTAGTCCTGTTACGTGTACCGTCTCCATTTCTCCGTCCACGTCATGTCCGTTAGCGGTTGTTCGGTCTCTTCCATCTGTCAGTTCTGCGAATATATTTGCTGCCAATAATGGACCAACAATGGCTTCTCTCGATCCTGCTACCGGGCTTTTAACGTATTACCCCTCATCATGCATTCCTATGAATAACCCATATCCCCCTACAATATCTTCTAGTGACTCACCATCAATCAATATATCAACCGTGTGCTCTCAGCCGAATCAGACAATGGGTCTTCAGCCTTCTTCACAATCCGGACCGGTCATGTACCCATCGGTACGTTGAATAGCGTTCGATCCTAGATAGCTGGTTGGTGACAAAGATGCATAGCATGGTGTAACCACTGGTGATATGGTGCGGATGCTTAACCGATCGCCTTCAGCTAGGGGAGTCTCGTAAAACTATTTCTGTCAGCATCAAATTTATTAGACTTACAGGGCTAATCTGCGTCAGGTAGAGACAAGGATCTACCTGAGACAGTTGAAGATAGTCGCGCAATTTCGTGGACGACAGGATGCTCTGGGGTGAACTGAACAAAAAGCTCGAACTTCCTAGAATAGAGCCTTTGACAATCTCACGGCTCACTCGGGGAAAGGAATCTAAGCATCAAAATCATTCGAGGCTACTTCCTGTAACACTCAAGAATGCTACCGAAGTAGAGGATGTCCTGCTAGCTAGTCATCTACTGAAATCCGATGGGAACGTCAGAATACTGCCTGACATACCGTATTCTGAGAGCAATCTCATCCGGAACGTCCCTAAAGATTTTTAGAATTACGGTCTACTATGATATTAGCACTGCTCTAATAATAGACCTAATCCTAAAATTGTAGATTTATTATGATGTAACTGCCTAATCTATAAGATCTTACGTGGAAGTTACATCATCATCTACACCGATTCATTGCATGGTAACAATTACCAATACGTGATAGAGAACAAGCTTAGGCTAGAGATAGAATATATTTAATACGAATAGAAGATACAAGATAACATTCAGCTGGGACCACGCCTGCATTGTAGAGCCATGCCATCCGATCAACTCGGACTAATTCAATTCATTTTCCCCGCCTTCTCCATTCTTCTGTATTTCTCCGCGTTAAATGTTTAATGTCTATTTCTCATATTGTCTCGTGGTAGGGCCCAATGCCACTACAGATTCTCGAGAGAAGTTTTTCCGCGGAAGAAATATCATGGTGCAAGGTTTACCGGAAAACATGGACCCTAGTCAAGCAAACTCTGACATTCGGGAATTGAAATTCAACAAACAGCCCTTGAGGCTTAAAAACATACTGACTCAGCATGTGATGAGACTAGCCAAGAAGGACGGGGATCCTAGACCCCGACTAATGAGAATAACTTTTCCATCCTCCCATATGGCAGCTGCAGCTCTGGAAGCATTTCGTGTCAACAGACGTCGGTTGCCAACTGGGATCCACATGCACCCGGACAGGCCATATGACGCCAGGATCAAGCACAAAGGCAAGCTGGATCTGACCATTCCACTTGTGGACTGTCTTCAAGATAAAAAACGTGTAAAGGACAGGGCCTACCGATTCGGCAAACCTTATATAGGTAGGCTACCTGTCCATTCACGTAAGGCTCTCACAGACAAACAGGAAGAAGCTCACGCGTTTCAAATTGAAAGCATTAACTGCTTATACATGAACGCCGCAAGTCTACCAAATAAAATGGATGAACTAAGTGAACTTAGCAACGCTAATAAGGTTCATCTGATAGGAATATCTGAAACTTGGGTATCTCCACACTTTTCGGACCAGGAGCTAGCAATACCTGGAATGTCTCTCTTTCGCAATGACAGAAAAACAGGAATTAGGGGTGGAGTAGCCCTATAAATACGATCTGGCTTGGAGGTACACCAAGTTCATAACCATGAGTTTGACAATCTTGAGGAATCTACATGGTGCTCTATGAGATTGTCCACTACTTCGAGGTGCCTAGTCGGAGTCATATATATTGGAAGCCCACTGCCGACATAGAGTATGACAGTTGTATGCTGGAAGGACTATCCCGCTCTACGCGTCTCGGTTTCACTCATATCCTGATTCTAGGGGACTTCAATCTCCCTAGAGTCAACTTCGCGGAACATACGTATACTGGAGGTGAAAATTCAATCGAAGCTCGGTTCTTCAACCTCATTGATGATTTGGGACTACACGAAAATGTGAAGTTGGCAACTAGCTGGAGGAACAGTCAGACACCGTCGCGCTTAGACCGTGTTTTTATAAATGAAGAATATCTAGTCGACAACCTCTCAATTCTGGCTCCCCTGGGGAAAAGCGATCACGCCGTTATAGCCTTCAGTTTCGTCAGCAAAACTGAGCTAAGATATCCCAACAACAACAGGCACCGGAATTTCGAACGGTTGAATGTGTCAGCTCTACAAGACTATCTACAACAGGTGGATTGGGACGTTCACCCTCAACTTGATGTGGATGTTCACTGGAACTTCCTATTACACACGCTCTTATGTGCTACAAAGCAGTTAGTCCCTCAAACGGTCCCCAAAAGCCACATGCAACCTACAATCATCAAAAACCGCATTCTTCGTTTGCTAAGCCGTAAAAGGCACTGTTGGGCAGAATACAAACGAACCGACAACGACGGCGAGTACAGGCAATACAAACATATAAGGAACATATGTACGAAGGCTATAAGAGAAGACAGGCTTCAGTACCAGTTAAAGCTTATGGATAAATTTATTTCCGATCCGAAAAGCTTATTCCGTTACGCAGCCTCTCTTCGTCAAGCCAAAACGGAAGTATCTCAACTGTTAGGTCCTAACGGCCCGACCGATAATGACGGTGACGCCGCTAACCTTCTGGCTGAGCAATACTCCCGGACATTTCAACCGTCCCACATCAACTATACTGATGACGGCTCTATCTGCAACTGCACAGGACTTTCCGTAGTGAACCTCAGCGCTGAATTGGTGTTCCGTAAACTACAACACCTAAGAACAGACAATTCTCCTGGCCCAGATATGGTCTATTCTGCTATATTGAGGGAAGCAACTTCAATCCTGGCAACACCACTTAGCGTGATGTTCTCACCCTCGCTAAGTCGAGGCAAACTACCGGATATTTGGAAGCTGGCTCATATCACACCAATCTTCAAGAGAGGTCGACGCAGCGAACCTTCAAGTTACCGACTGGTGGCTCTTCTCTCTATACCTTCAAAGATCATGGAGTCCCTGGTATACGATGGCATACACGACTACCTGCTGTCCTTAAATTTCTTCTCACCCCAACAGCATGGTTTCAGGAATGATTACTTCTGTATGACGAACCTGCTGACTGCGGTGGACAGATGGACAAGCATCGTTGATCGCAAGGGGAAGGTGGACATCATTCACCTTGATTTCTCTAAAACTTTTGATAGGGTTAACCACATCTGTCTTATTAACAAGCTCAGACAATTTGATATCAAACGACCTTTAATTGACTGGCTCAGTTCGTATCTGACAAATCGACATTTTAAGGTCAGGGTAAACTTAAATTTCTCACAGGCTATGGAATGTCCTAGTGGGGTCCACCAGGGCTCAGCACTAGGACCTCTTCTCTTCCTGATTTATATAAATGATCTCCCTCAACAGGTAACGTCAGACATATTGCTCTTTGCCGATGACGTGAAACTCTGGAGAGAGATACGCAACCAAGAGGACATACAGGCACTTCAGGAGGATCTGACTCGACTTCAAAGTTGGGCAGACGTTAATGGACTTACCTTTAACACTTCGAAGTGTAAAGTAGTCCATCTGCGACACGTCGCAGACTAAAGTTGCAACTTAGGAAACTCCTTTCTAGTAGTATCCCGAGCCGAAAAAGATTTAAGAATTAAAGTCTTACGCTAACTGTGACAGAAATGCCTTTCGAGCAAACCTTGCACTGGTAACATTGAAGCTCATTTTTGGTCAGTTTGACGGAAGAACTTCCCACATAATCTTCAATAGTTTCATTCGTCCCCATTTAGAGTACGGAAACATAGTATTCCCTCCTACACTCCAAAAGGACAAGGACACTCTGGAGCGTATTCAACGGCGAGCCACGAAATCAGTTCGGGGACTCAAATTTAAACCTTACGATGAGCGCCTCCAATCAGTCGACCTTTGCCCATTAGAGTATAGGCGTCTTAGAGGTGACCTTTTAATGGCTTACAGTATCCTTAACACTCCTGGACATCCTCTTAAACACCTACTTAAGCTTAGTCCTAACACTAACCTAAGGGGTAACACCCAGAAATTAGAGATAAAACATAGTAGAACGGATTGCAGGCACAAATTCTACTCCTTAAGAGTTGTCAAATGCTGGAATTCGCTGCCAGCTGAGCTAGTCCAAGCAACTTCCCAGGAGTCCTTTAACAGTTGCTTGATCTATTCTTAAGGACTAAGGATAGTATCTTACTATGATTTACCAATTTATTTTTTTCTCTTTACTTAGGTTCTTGCCTGGAGGTATTGGTGATCCTCTGCTACTAGACACGGAAGCCTGTTAAGCGAAAGCTTCTTCTATTCCGTCCACAACCATTTGAACCATTTGAACCATTTAGTTGACGTTAGACATTAACATCATTGGACGCCGTCCGGCTGACTGGTCTAAAGGTCAAGTAATCTCGAGAGAGAAAGATAATCCCGAGTTCGAATTCCGCGTGTGGGACCGCTGAATGGTCTCATATTAAGACGAAACGTGCGTCCAGTGCTTCCAGATTTTCAATGGTGGTCTAACATCGATCGATCCATGATCTCAATCAAAAACCTAGAGAGCCGTTGATTTCGGGGACTTACTTACTGCTAAATACTCAATAGTTCAAAGTCTTTTTAGAAAAAGGAAAAGCAAAAATATAATGGATATTTAACTAGTTTGAATTCAGTAACTTGATTTTAAAAGAGACCTTCACAAAAGGCCCTAGATTGAGTGCTTAAAACAGATGGTTTTCGTCGTGATTTATGTCGGTCGTTCAGGGAAACGAGAGATTTAACGAGTTCTCTATTTTATAATAGTTTTATTGAGGGCTAACCTGGAGTTATGATTACGAACTTCAGATAATGAACTGTGGAAATTATCTTCATTTTCTACTTGTTATCTCATTGTGCCATACCGTAATGAATCAGTTATACTGTCGCCGAAACTCATGTGAAATGCCTTCAGTGGAATATGTTGTGAGAGTCGATGGAACGTTTTCAGATGCCAAGGCAGTTGCTCGACTGCACGACTTGGAACTAGTTGATGAAGTATCTCCTATTTGTTGATCATTTT